AAAAAAAAAAAAAAAAAAAAACATGAGGCGTTCGATTAATAACATTATACACCTGATTTAAAAAACGCTGTCATTGCCAAAGGCGATAGTCAATAGGCGAAAAGCGATAGGATATATGTCATTCCAAGATCCACGAATAGCTGAAATGTCTTGTGTTTTTTCTTATTCTCGTCAAGAACATGGACCTTCGTGCTGAGACTGATTCGATGTTATTTGTATTCAACGAAACCATTTCCATGTCGGAATGACCTATCGCCTATCGCCTTTGGCGATGACAACGTTTTTTGAATTTAGTGAATACAATTAGGGAAAGAACACAGCAATATAAATTTCTCCCATTTAAATTTTTTTCCAGCTGCACATTGTATTGACATTATTTACATATGATCACTCATTACATTTCGGGCTTGATATGCAATGTGCAACAATTTTAAAACCTTCATCAATCAATAGCTGTATACGTTAGAATGGTATTGATGGTTTTCACGGCGGCCATAATGGAGGAACTTAACAAAAGAATTGTCAATGAATTCTTTTGTTTTATCCTCCAACATGGCCGCCGTGTCTTTTGTTAGTTAATTCTCTTGGGAATGGTGGAAAACCATCAATAGCGTTTTTGCTCATAGAAACGGAATGCGACATATTTGAACTAGCACTGACAAGGCTTCCCAACATTTTCTTAACAAGTAAACATTAAAATGGCTTTCACTAAACAGACCTTACAGCACGTCGGAATGCAGCTCAATTTGGAGGACATAACAATAGGTTTGCAATTCTCAGGAGATTGAAAAATATTTTGTTTTGTCCTCAAAATTGAGCTGTTTTGACGTCACATGCAAGAGGTCTTTTCCATCATCTTTCCCACATGAGTTTCGATACTAATAGCCTTACAATTCAACTAAGTACAAATGTAATAAATTTTATTCGTCTATAAAGAAAAGAAAGAAAACAAATGTACTTAGGTTTTAGAATAAAAGGTAATATAGAGAAGAGCTAGTCATTTGACGCGTTGATCAAAACATAGCCACAACAAACGATACGAAAATAATCAACATAGCAAGCGGAATCAGAGGTGCAGAACCTGATCGCGGCGGTCCCCTGGTAACGACTTCACCACCTCTCATCCCGTGCTTGAAACACTTGTCCTGCTTACTGCTCGTTAGACAAAGGGCGTGGTCCATCACGTGGAAAATGTAGTGCTGTTCAACGACACCGTGGAAGAGATACGCTCCTGGGCCAGTAGCGTAAATCCCTGATTTAAAATAGAGTTTAGTGTGTGTCAGTATTAGAGAGAATCTATTTTTYRTATGGGACGGGTGGGTAGGTGGTTGAGARGGCGTAGTGTGCCACAGGTAGCCCAAACAAAACATGTTAATAATTTTTAATTTAATAAGTTTTGTTATTTTTCATATGGGACGGGTGGGTAGGTGGTTGAGAGGGCGTAGTGTGCCACAGGTAGCCCAAACAAAACATGTTAATAATTTTAATTCAATAAGTTTTGTTATGATAAGGATATTGCTGATATCTTTTTTTCCGGACAGCCTAGTCAATGAATTACATGTAGCCAAGAAAGGAATGCTTGGGCTACCTGTGGATGTGCAGGTAGAGGGAGGATGTACATTTTTCGAATGATGAAATCATGTAGGACGTTTGCATGATAGCATCATTGACCTCTACTACCAGACTCCCTTTTAGCACCAATTGTCTTACTATTCTCATGAGGGAATACAAAGTTGAATAAGATAGAAATTCGCAAAGCATTATGTTATGGTACGTTTTAATGAGATCAGTTTTGGATCGGAAGGTGCTGACTGTCTTAAATGTTTTTTCTTTAAACCAATTAAGAGTTAAGAAAAAGTTTTTCGCCCATTATTCATTTGCAATATCTTACTACATCTACCAGAATGCTTAGCAAATGTTTTTATATTAAAAGGTCATGCACAAGACAACAAGTGTTAAATAAAACAAAGTGCGCAAGGGCTTCTGGTAATTGTAGTATATATCGGACTTAAATGATGTTTTATCAAGAAAGCCAATTGAGTGCACGATGAAGCACCCACGTGTTTTTATTTCTCACGTGCAGAGACTTCCTATGATTGGTTGCATAACTACATACATACCGACATCTTCTCCAGCATGTGACTCACTCGACGTCTTCACAAGAGCCTGCTGTAAGAAGTCCTTGTCAGCGGTATTCACGCCTGTGAGGTTTTGCCTGCTTTCGTTAAGGGATAGTCCACCGGGCCCGTTAGCATATCCTAGCGTAGTGTACGGTAAGCCATCTTTACCAACACTTGTGGCATTGTCTTTTTCGACTACTAACTCGAAGATTGGGTTCCCTCGTCGCGGGTATCCCGCTATGGATAACACGTGACTGTGGTCAGCGGTAGTGATCATTAATGTTTCCTCTGCAACGTTATAAAAGATTAACAAATGAGAAGTTTCGATCCGGTGACAGGATAACGAAAAACTGGAACCGGTCTTCCTGTGGTATTTACCGAACCGTACGCAGACCATGTGGTCTTGTGGATTCAGCAAAATTGACTTACCTTCTCCAACGATACTGACTGCCTTATCTACCGCTTTTGCCATGGCAACTGTATCCATGAGGGCTTTTACAGCTTTTCCACCGTGATGTCCGTGATCAATGCGTCCACCTTCAATGAATGTAAACCTTAGTCTTTGGAAAAATACCGCTGCGTTGCTTGATTACAGACTCATTTACTCAGGGATAGCATTATTTCAGCGTCAGAATAGAGGTTTTGCACCACCACGTGACGGCAGCCATGTTAGATGGCAGGAACAATACAATCGTTTTACACGAGAAAGAATTCAATTCCCAAGAGCAAAGGGATTTTATTGTTCTGCCATCTAACCACAGAAAGCCCAAGCCGTATTATCGGATGGGCACGTGAGGGTGCATGCAAAACCTCTATTCCCAAATACCAACGGTAAAGTAAGAATGCAACTACTCAAGATCAAGGGTCACCCTGAGCAACAGAACGTTTATGCATGACAATGATTCAAAATGGCGGCGATATCGTCTGCTCACATGCATGAACATTTTAATCAATAGTCCCCTTCATAGTACCCTGCGCCATCTCGAAAGGTAGCCGTGCCTTTGAATCGAAGCTAAACGAACGGTGAGCTTGCAATATAGAGACATTTGTTCAAGCTGTTAAAAAAGGTCTCTATCATTGCAAGCTCACCGTTCGTATCGCTTCGATACGAAGGCACGGCTACCTTTCAAGATGGCGCAGGGAACTGTGAAGGGGACTATTAATTGATGAAAACTACAATTTCAAGGCTAAATAAATACACTTACCTTCGACGAATAAAAAGAATCCTTTGGGATTTTTACTGAGAATTTCAATGGCCTTAGCTGTCATCTCAGCGATGGAAGGTTCGCCTCCTGTATCGTTGACTCTCTCTACTTCATACTGCATATGGCTGTACTCAAACAGACCTAACATTACCAAGACAATATACGAATGAATTTGCTGGATGCGTGGGAATAAATCATCATTTTTATGGAACGTTGGACTGATCTAGGGCAAAGCACGAGTAATTTACTTAGTTTGGGCGTGAAGTCTTCCCATTTTATGCCACTTACAACACATCCTTTGTTATCCATCCCTCTCCTATGAATAACCTACATTGCCCCACTCTCCCCTCCCCTGTCAAGAGGCTTATTGACTCACCCAACACATGCTTGACTGCCTTGACATCCACCCCTCTGCACTAAGATACATATCACTGTCCGACACACCCATCCCCTCCAAGGAGGCTTATTTACTCACCCATCACATGCTTGACCGTCTTGACATCCAACGCATCAAAAGCCGTTTTATTCCACAGAAACTGTGAGTCGGGATTGTTAGCCAGCCATTCGTTGACCAAATTTCGGCCATCTCCGCGTTTGCCTTGTAGCTGGGGATACTCGGGATCTGATTGGTTTTTTGGGTAGAAGTTTTGCCTTCCTCCTCCGAATAACACTTCGATGCCATCACCGACTGAATATTCTGCCAACTGAAGGGCTAGAGGGGACAAAAAGCTTTGCATGAATGCTGAATTTCGCTCCATGCATAACTCGTTTATAATTCAGTTATATTCACAGATACCATTAAAAGTCCGTGGGATTTCAAAACATTGTTATTTTTCAAGTTTCACATTCTTTGCATTACAGTTGACTATTACAAATGATTTGCTAAGCCTGTGCAGCACAAATCTCCGCGCGCGTCCACAGGAAACGCTTGTCTTTACTGAGTCTGGATGGAAACGTTGTGCAGCACGTATTCTACACTAGTAGCAAAAAGTGCCGGTTTTGAAAACCAAAACAACGTGAAAAATAAATTATTTCAACCTAATCTCCAAATTGTTTGTATTTATTTTTTGACCTACAAAGGCTTTGCACCTTCACGTGCCGGCGCCCATAATACATCTTGGAGTGCATGTAGTTAGATGACAGAACAATAGAACCCCTTTGCTCCTGGGAATTGAATTCTTTCTTATCATAGGTAGCCCAAGCTTGGTTTCTGTGGCGTCATGTTATAAGAAAATGTATGGTGATTCATCAAAAATTTCAATAAAATCATTGAAACGTGAAATAAAGCCTCGAAATTTTACCCGATCATTGAGAAATAGCACTAAGAAATAATTATAATACTGGTGGAGAAAAAAATCCTTAAAACGGGCTAAATTCAAAAAATAACCACACAGAGTGAAAGAAGTGCTATTTCTCAATGATCGGGTAAAATTTTGAGGCTTTATTTCACGTTTCAATGATTTCATTGAAATTTTTGATGAATCCCCATACATTTTCTTATAACATGACACCACAGAAACCAAGCTTGGGTTACCTGTGTTCTTATGTAAAACGATTATATTGTTCGTGTCATCTAACATGGCTGCCGTCACGTGATGATGCAAAGCCTCCAATAAAATTATCGCGTTGATTACTTACCAATATCTTTACAAGAGCTAGAGTCATCTTTGGCCTTACTTTTCATTTTCATATCGTTTTCCCAGTTTCTATCGGGACTATAAGAATAAAGTACAGACGGTGACGCATGCGTAATGCGTGTTGTGGTCACAATCCCCGTAGACATCCCAGCTTCCTCTGCGAGAGTTAGGATTGACTTGACTTTGGTGGCTTCGGTCATATCGGCGCAGTAACCTTTGCGGACAGTTTCGTCAACAGCGATTACACCTTACCGATAAAATAAATTCTGATAAGCACTGCTTCAAAGTGGAACCTCTATTAGGCGACCACCATTGAAAATTCTCAAGTGGTAGCAAAAAAGAGGTTGGTTGCTTAATAGAAGTAAAAATTACTGCCGAAAACCTTTTTGGGACTTTGACAACTGGTTGCTAAATAGAGGTTGGTCGCTTTATGGAGGTATAATTAAGTGGAAAATTCAAAAACGAAATTTAAAGGCAAAAGTGTGCGATTCGTGCTGATATCGCACTTCTGAGAGACTTTCAGATTGCAGGATTTGCCAGGATTTCGAGATGGGAAATTTCTCATTCCTCTTTGATAGCTGGTCGCTAAATAGAGGTTGATTGCTTAATAGAGGTATAAATTAGTGCAAAATTAAACCATCTTTGGGACTTTAACATTGAACCTCCGCTAAATAGAGATTGATTATTAGAATCACATGTCACTGTGAACCCTGTTTCGTACCCAGACTTCCTCCAAGCCGACCGTTGTGAGACTCATAGAATTACTACCAAAACAAGGGGGGGGAAAGCGAGCGTCGAAGTCACGAGAGGTCGACTTGTTTGCTCCTCTAGTAGGATTTTCATTTGCGTTTAAATTTCGCGCCAATGATGGGCGTGTATTTCTGAAGCGGGCGCTTAATTTTCTTACGTTGATAAAGAGCGCGAGCACCCGCTTTTGGGTCGCTAAAATTAGCGGGAAACAAGCCGGAAAAGTCCTTTTATTTGCCGAGCGCGTGTGATTCCTGCTTGGTTTACCTGTGCTTTTAGTCAGCGCGCGTGAACTCAGGGAGACGAAGGACGAGTCTAAATCGTATATTTTTCTAAATTTAGTATCATTACCAGCTCTTGTTTTTACTCCATTCAAATAAGCTGTGGCAGTGCCTGCCGAGTCGGCAACTTGTTGATCAGTGTTGTACGTCTTGGAGAATGCCGACCAGGGGAATTTTTCCCAACTCAAAGCATTCTCTTCGCCAGTCTCTCCACGCAGTTGTCCTTCAAGAATCCGAGCAGATGTGACGGTGGTGGGGCCCATCCCATCGCCCAAGAACATTATCACATTTTTTGCTGTTTGGCGATTTTCGCGGAGTCGTAGGTTGTCTTTAATGAGGTCGACGCCGGATTGAAACCACTCGTTTTTGGCCTCGTTGTTAAGAGCACTTGCAGCGAAAGCTATTAACGGTGAATTGAAAGAGCATTAAAGGGATGGCAATGTTTGTTGTTGTGGAAGTGGAAATTATATTTTTTGTAAGGGTAAAAATATGCAAACAGTTATGATCATAATAGGAACAGTTTTGTTCAGACACACGGTGCAACATTACACGCATGCAACATTGAACGCAATGCAACAGGACTGTTGCATCGTGCRTCTACCCCTAAAACTTGTTGCACGCAGCATTGCATGCAGCAAATCTGAAGTTGAATCACGCTCTACGCTTGCAACCTTGCGCGAAACATTTTGAAATTTCCAGCCAATCAGCTTGCACCAATTATTTTTAACTGCTGACCAACTTTTTGTTTTTTTCTAAGCCCCCGGTAAAAACATTACTTTGCTTGACACTGCATTACCAAATACTCTTTATTATTTTTGTACTGTTCCGCCACAAGCACGACGTTCTACGTCGGTCTTTAAGTATCCCTCCAGGATCTTTTAGTCTCGATTTACAAAATGTGTCTCGATTTGGATTCGTTCCGGCGTTCGTTTCTCCTTTCTTTATTGCTTTCTTTCCTTGTTCCTTGCATTGGTTACACGATTAACTTCTAGGTTCCATGACCCCATTTTTTTACACGCTACGTTTCATTCCGTTAAGTATTATTCTTTTTGTTTCCTATGTTTGCCTCAGAGAAAACAATAATTTTGATGAGAATCAATCAATGATCAAGTTTTAATTCGAATTCATCTTTTAACACAAGATCTCATTCAGGTACCACTTTTCCTACTTCAAGCAAATTTGCCAACATTACAGTCAAAAAGGCTCAAGCTTACCCCCCCGCCCCCCTGACTACCCCTTTAGATTCCATGCATCAATTCCATAATTTAAATATTCAAATAATGATATTTTAACATATATTAAAATTTGTTATTCTTTCCCGGAGAATACGAAGACTCGGGATTCAAAATAAAAACCGATTCAAAACTCAAATTCCGATTGAATCATTCCATATAAGGAACACCATAATTTTCCGGTATTTTTAAAATTGGTAATCCTGTTTGCACTAGCCCCTACAAATACGAGCTTAATTAATCAAATGTCAATCAAAGACGTACCTCTGAAATATAAGATCCCCTAGTATTTTGGTTCTTTCAAAATGTTGCCGCGAAAGGTGACCATTCTCGGGCTTTTGCTCATAAATTAGCCTGCGTAGCGGCTCTTGGGGAGGGGGAGGGGGTTGGGCCTCCTCGCCCCACCCCCCTCCCCCTCCCCAAGAGCCGCTACGCAGGCTACTCATAAATATAAAACTGATTCCCTGGGTGAATTACAGGCTGGATATATTGTAGGGGTAGCTGGAGTAGAAAACATTGGTTATTCATAATAATTGCAATACGGATATTCTGGTTGACTAAAATTGTAGTTTGAAGACTGACTTTGCTGAAAGAATTGTCCTTAACTACACTATTAAAATACGATAGGGAGTCATGTTGTAAAACCTTAGAAAACTATTATGATTTATGTAATTTAGCAGTTTTGTGGGCTAAATAAAAAAAACTGTTATGAAAATCCCATAAACCTTCATATTCGAATAATCATTTTTTTWAAATGAAGAACTGGAGAATGAAATGACATTTTCTGAACTACGGATACAAGGCTGAATTAAGCTAAAACAACACCATTTTTTTTCTTTTCTGTTGTTTATGGAAAAGCCAAAAAAAAAAAAAAAAAGCAAAGAAATACTACAAATCTTGCGAAATCTAACTTCGAGTGCTAGCACTGGAACCCTCTGCGTTCAAAGCCTTTTCCAGAGTATTTAATAAGGAAAGGAACGTAAACTATGCATTATAAGTATTTTAAGTAAGCTAAGTGTCTGCTTATTGTATTCAGTGTCGATTTACTTTCTCCATGTGCAACACTTCGACACAAGTTTTACCTCTGCAAATTTATCGTGTGTTATTTTAGGGAGGAATGGAATCTCAAAGCCTGAACTGAAATTTAAAAAAGTCCTGAATGTTTACGGCAAGTAAATTAATACATTAAAATATACAAACATTTAACAATTAACTTCAATAATTATTGACTAGATAAAGATATAACACATCTTTGGTTACCACAAGTACGAAAACGACTACAGAATTCAAAGCCCTAAAAATTCAAAATCTTGAATATCATAAAATATATTCATTACGTTTTACAACAGATGTGCTAGTTTGAATTGAATTTAGAGTGACTGTGCAAGGAGCAAAGATTTAGCACACGCGAAAAACTCCATATGGAGTAATTAAATCTACTCTTCTTATATAACAAATGTATATATGTCACATTTTAGGAAATTAGAAAAGGTTAAATCGTTAAAAAAAACATAGACTTACTTGTGCTAACTATGCTGAAACACCAAGGCAGCAATAAGTACAACAGCAAAACCAAATTGTTCGTCATCCTTTTGGATCAAACGGAGAGACAAGAGAAAGATATGTGTAGCAGAGGTCGAGGTCAACACTATGGTGACAATGAAACTCAAGCGTCAAGCGGCCGTAGCTCCTAGAATGTGTTCTATCAAACGGGTCGGATGACAAGTACCCTGCGTTCCATCCGATGTGAATTCACCTTTTCGGCGCTAGCTGTCACGGGATGGTTTGGTAGGGCCGCGCAAGGGACGAACCCAACACGTGGCCGGCCAGAGTTGTGGGGGGCCACAGGATGTGGGACCACTAGACTTGGACGGGAACTAAACATGTCAACGTAACTGTCTCAAAACCCCTTGACTCGTTGTTGGCTTCAAATCGTGTACAGAGACAATAGCTTCCCGTCATCGCAACACTGTATTAGAATGCAGCTCAGTCATGCCTGCATTTTGAGCGTTCTCCGCTGGCTAGCTGATAGATCTTTTCCGCGGGCTCCACGAATCGCGAGATGAATTTTCAAAACTAATAAGCCGGACTCTTTGTGGAGTTTTTGCAAAGAAAAGTATGTTTCTAGCATGATAACATGCAAAAATGGAATTTTAATCATTAATATCTTCGTCGTTTTAAGGGCAATCTTTACTAGACTTTGTAGTTTCACTAGAGTCAGTGATTACCATGCATCAGAAGTTCATAACTAGAAGTGTCCATCTTCCTATATATGAAACGTCCGATGTGTTTTACGTCTGAGCTATTTTAAGTAAAATTGACGTCTGCACCGGAAGTGACCAAGCAAGCAGGCCAAACAAACAAAATGGCGGACTCGGGGTTTCCCGTGTGAGAAAAGCTTGGATTTGCTTGAGTGTTATGTTCGATAATAGTGTACACCATAGAAAAGACACTTAGTTTCTTTTTTACCATAACAAAGTCCAAAAAGATGGAAAAAATGTCCGGAAAATGTTTGAAAGAGCAACCGCTTCAAGCGCGCGCTGTTCATACACGCGGGCGCGCGCAATCCTAAACGAATCAGCGTAGCGTATGTCATTTCGATGAATCTGATTGGTCGAGCGTTCCTGCTTGGTCACTTCTAGTGCTGATGCTGATACTAAAAATAACTCAGACGTAAAACACATCGGACGCCACCCCAATACCTGATAGTCTCCCTCGCATCCGTTTTTAGTGTCGGTCGTCACGCAACGCGTTGCGTGAMGACCGACACTAAAAACGTATGCGAGGGAGACTAAATACCTGATGGACACTTCTAGTTGTGAACTTCTGCATGCATATATCGTGAAAAACATTGCGAAGACTGGTTGCACAAATTTACACAAATCATTAAGCTCACTAGACCGTAGACCTACAAGAGGGTGTGCCAGTGGGGTTAGTGTAGCCTCCTCCGCATGCATCTCTCTTGTATCTTCTCTCCTTTTTAGTCTTGGGCTTCCCGTGTCTTTAGGATGAGGGGGATTGAGCGCCTAGTCTCTTTCGACAGGAATCCCAATTCGCGACACAGGAATCCCAATTCAACAAACAAAGAAAATTAAGAAAGACGCCTGCGGAGGAGGCTAGGGTTAGTGGTTTATTGGCCAACAACATACTAGTTAACTGACAAATAACCTATGATTTGGCCGAACCCACTAAGGGGTGGTGGTTAGGAGTTTATTGGTGCCTAAGCTGTGCATAAACTGAACGTGAACCAGTTTGAATTTCTATTCGAATGGTTATAAACTTACTTAACTGTCTATACTAGATTAAATCATTGACGATTTGAAATGGTAAGAAGGCAATATTGACCAAAATATTAAACGGTATAATATGTACGAGCCCCTCCCCCTCATCATAAAAACCTACCTCTACCACCCCCTCGTAAGTTCAGCCAACCTCTTTTTTTACTTAGGCCGAAAAATCTTTTTTTTAAAGTCAAATTTCGATCACTATTTAGCTCTAATTCTGCATTTTGGACAATGGAAAAAAATGTGTCTTTCCTTGGTCAAATACTCTGGGGGAAAATTGAAAAGTAGCTCCAAGTTTTTTCGCTTTTTAAAGCCTAAAAAATTCTTTCTATTTCTTAATACCCAGAATCTCGCCGATTTTGGCTCAAAGAAAAGCATTCAAAATATGTGAACTTGAAATGAATAAATTATTTAAGAGGGGATGTCAGCAAAAATCGAACAATTTTGAAATTTCGTGGCAACGGTCGAAAAATCGATTTCGCTCATATTCTAACCTTAGGTAGA